ACCAAACTAGTTTGGAACTGACTTTTTAGTTTTAGTCGAAGATACAGGTAAAAAAAAGTGTTACAAGGAAACAGATTTGATGATTCGCCAGCATTTAAAATTCTAGATCTTCAGATGGTTAAACATTTAAACTTGACAAACCCCTTTGTTTCCAGGAATTGTGTGTCAGTCTGACCGATATGTTTGTTATTAAGTTTAAAGTTTCTTTATGTCACTGTAGATGCTAAGAATTATGGTAGTTGATGTGTTGATAATGTTGTACATTACGTACGTGTATTATAGATCTGTTACTCGTATTCTTTTGTACATTATTAGTATTCTATGGACAGGTTACTGGAATACTTATGGTACATTCAGTACGCGATGAAGAAGTATTGATGCAATAGCACTAATAATAAATAGTACTAATGCTAAAAAAAACCCCACTCCTTCCCATTGTAAAGTAGTTCTTTTAAAAATAGACTTAGGTTTAGATACATTACATATTGTATTATTGTGCGAAAAGAAATAAAGGTACTGAAACCGTTTCAAACTGCTTGTACATATCTGTTTGTATTCAATTCGCTCACGTTGTGAAATAAGCTGATATATACACATATCTCGTAACTAGTCATCATCACAATTGTGACATCCGCTTTGCAAACATCTTCTTATAGTCGTCTTTTTCTTCGAACATGTACTGCTACAATTGTAGTAAATGCAGCAGAAACAGTTGTTCAAACTGATAGAGCAGAGAAAAGAGGAATATATCATGCAAGACGTCCGTAACGACAAAATCCTGAATCTGGGTAATCAGGTTTGTCAACTTTGACCTTTGCCCCATCTGTATGATTTGACCTTTGATTACGCAAGCTTGTCCGCCATTTTGAGCCGTGCGAGGGTGTCATTTCTCTCCAATCTGAGGCGATTACCAGCTTACTTCGACTCTAAACCTACTCTGGGCAGTTTTAAAAGACAGGTAAGACCTTTGTGTACCTCCTACACTCGCTCTGTCGCGGTACCGCAGCAGATACTTCAAATCGTGATGCGTGAATTATCTAAGGTATGCATGGGGAGGGGGGCAGATCGACCCAGATAGGATATCTGATATCCAAAATCACTGCACGGTGGTCTAAAACGGCCTCAAAAATCACCACTCGTGGCTAATCAATATTAATGAAAATTAGATGTCAATTACACTTGTCACCATTGGCAACTGTCCATGATTGGTTGACACTTTCGTGGGCCGGCTCTAGAAATGTTTACCTTGCTGTTTGCCCCCCTGCAAATTCTTCCCGCCAACTGTTCTATTCATATGCGCACTTCTCCAGATCCTCTATTGTTCTAATTTCACACATTCTAACAATACATGGCGTGGGTACAAGCTCAAGCTATGATCATTTTCTGGCCTGGTACACACACACAGAACAATATCGTTTCAAACTCTCTGTGTAATTCAGTTGCGATCAAAACGTAAAATTACTCAGATAATGGCGGCCACTAGGTTACCCTTGACCGGCCAAGATTGGGCAAGAATTCGAAGAACGCCGATAAGCCAAAATCCTCGATGAGATTTAGACTACATGTTACTAAAAAAAAGCCGCCCTTATACCCTCTTCTACAAAATATAAAATAAACCCCGACTCGTACTTTAAAAGTGATCTTGTTGTTTGAAAATATAACCCTTGATACAAAGTAACAAACGTTACATTAGGAGTGCTATTTTGTAACATTGCCGACGTCGATCTATCCACTCTCCGTTGTTGTTTTGATTTTGTCAGCGCCATCTTGGTTTCCGTATTTTTGTAAATTAGCGCATGAACGCCAGTGTTTCTTGAACGCAACTCGTTTAGATCTTATTATTTTAGACATCCCCGCGAGTTAACACGTATTCTGTACTTATCTCTGTATTTGCTCTGGACGTTGTTTCCGAGATCGGCAATACTTCGGCAGAACCAGGGACGAAACATGAGAAGTTTCGGCTAGAACAATGCCGCAACAAGTTACTACACAATCTGAAGTTGGCTTAGACCAATGCTTGTATTTACAACAATATACATGGCATGTGTTTAGCCCGTAAAGGCATAAATGTACAATAAAGGTCTTGAGTGAATTTGTAAACAATTATTTGTGGTATGACTATGAGCGTGAGAGTATGCGTAAAGCCCAAGCCACGTCTTTATCTCAGAAACTGTAAAACGGGTTGACGAAGGAGGTTAAATATTTTTATTTCTAAACCTCCTTGCCTTGGCTGGACAGAACAAAACCTGGGAAAAGTGTGTACCTCGTTCGCAGATTTGAAAATCCCGGGCAATTATCACGCTTGGGGAACTCAGCGAATACAATGGCCGCTTGGGCAACGAATTTGAATATGTTTGTTTTTTGAACAAAAGGGCGCTAAAAATGCCCTCTCTTCTCCTCATTATAACTCCAAAACATTTCAACAATCCCATGTGGAAAATGTACATTTCATATTTTGAGAAATATCTGAAGTTTGTCAAAATAGAATTTGATCAAACCAAGACGACCGTAAAGGTTACAACGCCGCCGCCATTTTGTCTTTTGGAAATTCGCGTACGTTCTCGCCGAAAGGGAATATGGGAGAAAATGTACCAAAAATTTTGAAAAATAAGTTAAAATCTTCTAGACAGCCAAAACCTGAGAACGTAGCGAAATTTCCAAAGGCAGATCTTTAGATAATGCCTTTAGGTGTTGTTTTACGCACAAATTAAAGAAATGAGTTTTGAAGGTAAAAGGTCAACGACCGAAAATGACATTTGCACATGGGCCGCGTGTTGGCGCAGTGAAGCTCGGTGTCAGCTTGTCACTTCTTTATTTTAACCTAGTTTCATAACCAACATATCGATTTTGTAGGTTCCTATTTTAGTTTTTCTGTAGGATTGCCCGGTCGTGAGTTTTTTGGTGAAATATTCGGGCCCGCTGCTGGGTGTTATGGAGGCATGCCGGCCAGACACTTAGTGGGCGGGGCCTATTCACATAGCAATGGGGATTTTTGCATAGTAACCAGACCACCGTGCTGGTCTCTTTCCAAATATACTGGCTATAGGGTCATATAGACTGTGGGCATAAATAGTATGGAAATATCATTATGCTTGAATTCCTGATGTATTATTTTTGGTCTAATATAGCAACGGATAGTATGTACAGTACACGTTGTCGACGCTTCAATTTTGGAAATTTTATCTTCGGTCTCAGAAAATTATGGACCGGAGAATCTGTGAGATTCCTGTGGACGAGCTGCCAACTGTGCACCCTGGGAACGAGACAAGCAGCAGCGAGGACCCGGCAACAGACACGGGAGGACAGCAGGACAAGGAAGAGGACATTCTATCGGAGGAAACGCACGGGGTAAACTCTGTCCAGCCTTCCGTACAGAGTCAAACAGAGCAGACGGACTGGCCTGTGGTGAAAGGTACTATGTCTAAACACACTGGAGACAAACCCTACTTGTGTGAGAAGTGTGAATATAGGACAGCTGACAGGCCTCACCTAACCGTGCATATGAGAAGACACACTGGTGAGAAACCCTACAAATGTGACCAGTGTGACTATTCTGCTGCACGGAAAGACGATTTAGACCGGCACATGGCTAAACACA